ATTCTTGCCCCCTTTGAATTGCCTTTACACCTTTGTCAAAAATTAATTGGCAATAAATGTAAAGGTTTATTTCTGGATTCCTAAGTCCGTTTCATTCATCTGTCTGATTGTGCTGATGCCAGTGCCGCCCAGTCTTGATTACTGGAATTTACAGTCAGTTTTGACATTGGGACGTGAAAGCCCTTTCACTTTGTTCTTTTTCAAAATTATTTTGTCTGTACTGGATCCTTTGTATTTCCATGTAAATATTAAGATCAATTAGTCAATTTTTGCACAAAAGCCTGCTGGAATTTCGATAGAGATTTTATTGAATTTGAAAATTATTTAGGGTTCCAACTGCCATCAAAACCGTATGAACCTTCCACTCCATGAACATGGGACATCCCCTCATTTGCTCAGACAGATCGTCTTGAAATCCTCTCTGCAGCGTTTCAGAGGTTTTAGCTCCCGAGACTTGTACTTCCTTTGTTGAACTTACTCTCTAGTATTTTATTCCTTTCTCTGCTATTATCAAGGGAATTTTTAAAATTTTTATTTTCAGATTGTTCGTTACTAACATGTAGAAATTCACTTGATTTTTGTATATTCGTATTGCGTTTTGCAACTTCGCTGACCTTGCATATTAGTTCTAATTGGGGGTGTGTGTGTGTGTGTGTGTGTGTGTGAATCCTGCTTGGGACTCTCTGAAATTCTTGAATCTCAGAATTCTCAGCGATTTTTGTCTTTCACTAATTTAGGGGAAATCTCGGCCATGATCTCCTCAAATAGTTTTTCTGGCACATTTTCTCTCTTTTCTTCGTAGGACCCTAATTACGCACCTGGCAGAGCATTTTGAAGTATCTCACAAGCCTTCGTTGCTCAGTTCAGGTTTTTTTCTCTTTATGTTCCATTTTGGATAATTTCTACTCACTTGTCTTCCAGTTCACTGACTCTTTCCTTAGTTCTGTCCTGTCTGCTAACAAGCCTGTCCTAGAATTCTTCACCTCTGGTGTGTGTGTGTATGTAGGGCGTTGTTTCCATCACTTCCACTTGACTCTTTTTATAGTTTTCCTTTACCTGCTGAAACTCCTCATCTGTTAATGCATGTTGTTCAATTCTTCCTACTAGATCTTTTAATATCACATAGTTATTTTAAAGTCCCTATGTGATGCTTTCAACATTTGATCATCTCTGAGGATACTTCCATTAATTGCTTTATCACAAGAAAAATGATTCCACTTACCTACTTTTTTTGTCATCTCATAAAATTTTGTTGAACATTATATGTAAAGAACAGTAGAGACTGGGGTAAATAGTATTTCTGTGCAGAATGGGTCTGCCCCTCCGTCTGTGAGGCCGTTAGTGTGAGATTTGTCCCTCTGGCCAGTAGGCGAGCTGAGTCGCCATTACCCAGAGCACCACAGGCTTCCCGGCCCGCCAGCACGGTTGTCACTGCCTCGAGGTTCAGTGTGGGGCCCAGCGCTAGACGGGTTTTCTCGGGTCCCACTCACCCCTTCAGCTGCAGCCCACCCTTCATGCTTGGACCACAGAGTGGGGCTTTCTCCTCGTCCTTTCCCCTCCACCCAGTCATTTATGCAACAGATATTTTCCAAGCTTCTGTCAAGCGCCAGGCGCTGAACCAAGGGCAGGTTAGTCCAGAAAGATAGGGATCAGAGACAGTCTGTTTGGTAATCCTGACACTTCAAGGACCATAAAATCTGTGACTATCTCAAGTATAAGCTTCAAAGGCTTATACGTCCAACAGAGTTCAATGTTCTAAAGCTTAAAGTTCAACATTCGCTCTTTAGAAAAAAAGGGAAAAACTTGAAGAGCTAGCACTATGCTTAACTTGTGACAGATATCCATCAGAAATTGAAATGAAACTTTATATAAAGGTGAAACACCGGAAGAAGACTAATGTTATTTTATGTAACATTGTTTTAGATGACAACATTGTAACAAAATAAAAAGTAAATACAGTGAAAAATATTTAAAAGGAAGCGATAAAACTGCTCAAACAAATAAAAGCTCAGTACAAGAGAAAACACCAGAGAGCAACAGAGTTTCTATACACACGGTTATAGAAAATCTCGTGTGACAACACATCCCATTTGTAATTTAAAAATCATAAACTACTACAGGAAACTCCTTGGAGAAAAATTAAAATAAATGAAGAAAATTTATTTTTTAAAAAATGTCTTATGAGCCTATGGTTCCAAAGAAAAGATTCAAATAAACAGAGAGAAATAACGTTAGGAAGACTCAGTTTATCCTTCAGTTCTTTAAAAGTGATTTACAAATTTAATGTCGTTCCAAGTAAAATAAAGGGCTATTTTCTTCTTACCAAGTTTTCTCTGAAATTCTTATCAAAGAGTGTATGTGCAGACTAGCTAATGAATTGTTGAAAACAAAATATAAGGAAGAAGAATGAGCAGAGATTTCCCAGGCAATTACCAGAACAAACCAGGAAGGGCCAGGACCTGAAACAGCAGTGTGGATTCAGGATCAGACAAAGACAACAAGGACACACACCAGATGCTCCAGCCAGCCCACCCCCTTAGTGAAGATAAGGTCCACATGCGTCTTGAGTCAACAGGAAAAGGACAGACAACTGCTGACATAGCATTGGGAGGATTGCTAAACCAGCTGGAGCAAAACAGTGATAACTTAGACAGGACAGTAAATTAAAGAGGAATCCAAATCTAAACAGAAAAATTAAAATATGACATTTCTCAAAGGACATGTGGGAGAATGTTAGTGTAATCTTGAGGGAGGACGGTTCTCAGCATGGCAGGAAATACAGAAATAATATGGGAATGTCTGAGAGCTGTGATTCCTGCAAAATTAAACACCTCTCTGGGAGCCACAAACAAAGAGAAGTATTAGAGATTTGGGAGAACACGTTTCTAACAAATAAAATGATAAAAATATTAACATCCAGGGGCTGGCCCGGTGGCGTAGTGGTTAAGTTCAGTGTGTTCTGCTTCGGCGGCCGGGGTTCGCCGGTTCGGATGCTGGGCGCAGATCCACATCACTCATCAGCCATGCTGTGGTGGCGTCCTACATGTAAAGTGGAGGAAGATTGGCATGGATGTTAGCTCAGGCCTAATCTTCCTCAGCAAAAAAAAGCAAATTGATTACACAAATCAATAAGTAAAACACTAGCAGCTCAACAGAAAGAACAGACTGGACCTGTGAGCAGATGGTTCTCAGAGGAGCTCAGGTGTAGGGGATCATTTTGGGTGTCGTCTATGTCATTTTCCTCATTAAATATATTAATGTAGTCAATTCGGTTGATTGCTTTTATATTTTAATTAAACTTTTCTTAAATTGATCTACATAGATCTACAATTCCTAATGGATCTACAATTCCTATCAAAACCCCAGACAAAACTTTTTGTAGAAATAGACAAACTGATTCCAAAATCAATATGAAAGGGCAAAAGAACTAGAACAGCTACACTTAAAAGAAAAGACGAATCAAGTTGGAGGAATCCCATGACTCGATCTGAAGCCTTATTATGAAGCTACAGAGATCCAGAGAGCACTGGACAGGAGGGACATGAGGCAAATGGGACAGAATGGAGCCCGCGGGTTGACCACGCACGTATGGCCGATGGGTATCTTACACAGGTGCAAAAGCAATCAAGCGAGGAAGGATGTCTTTTCCATAAACAGTGCTGGAGCAATCAGGTAGCCGTGGGGGGTGGGCAGGGGGGAACCTGTGACACGACCTTATAAAAAAACTAACTTGTATTGGATCACAGACGTGAACATAAAATATAAAACCTAAAACTTTTGCAAGGAAACATAGGAGAAAATCTTCAGGACCTGGGGCTTGGCAGGGTTCTGGACATGACATCAAAAACACAATCCACCAAAGTTTTTAAAAAATCAATGAATTAGGCTTCAGCGAAATTTAAAACTTTTGCCCTGCCAGAGTCCCTGATGAGAGGATGAAAAGCTAAGCTACAGACTGGGAGAAAATGTTTGCAAGTCACATATCAGACAAAGAACTCACATTTAGAATATGTAAGGAACTCTCACAACTCAACTGTAAGGAGACAAACAAAATGGGCAGAAGACAGGAAGAGACAGGTCACAGCAGAAGACCCTGGGTGGCTGGGAGCCCATGCAGAGATATGCAACATCATTAGCCACCTGGGAAATGCAATTAAGACTACAACGAGATATCAGTGCACACCTGTTAGAACAGCTAACATAAAAAATAATGACAATGCCAAATGCTGGCAACGTACAGAAGAACTGGAGAGCACAGCTGGTGGGAACGCAAAATGGTCCAACATCTCTGCAAAATAGTTTGACAGTTTCTTTAAAAATTAAGCATACACTTACCATATGGCCCAGAAATTGCACTCCCAGGCATTTCTCCCAGAGAAATGAGATCTTATGTTCACACACAAAAAACGGACATGGTTATTCATAGGAACTGTATTTGTAATGGTGAAAACCGGGAACAACTGAAATATCCTTCAATAGGTGAATGGCCAAAGCAACGGTGGTACATCGATACCTTGGGACACCGCTTATCAATAAAAAGAAATAAACCACTGATGCATGCAAGATCTCCAGGGCGTTATGCTGAGTGAAGGATAAAACCCATCTCAAATGGTCACATACTGCATGATGCCACTTACACAGCATTTTCAAAATGACAAGATCATAGCCACAGAAAAAGGACGAGTGCTAATTAAGGGTTAGGGAGGGTGGGGTGGGGTCTGTGACTATGAAGGGGGCAGATCACTCTGGGGCTGGGCAGTCCTGTCACTCGAGCTCACACGTGTGATACTGTGGCCTAGACCAGACACGCTGTAGCAATGCCTGGTGCCTGGCTTTGACACAGCACTGCACTGAGTAGCATGTACCGACCGGGTACACTGTGTGAAGGGTACAGGGTAACGCTCGGGTCTATTTCTGACACTTTCTGTGAATCTACAATAATTTTAAAATAAAAAGTTCTAAAAAAAATATTATGAGATTTCAAAGAAGAGCATATACCGTATGCTACCTCTGGTGTAAGAAAGAAAGGGAAAGAAGAAAATATGCATGTATCTAGTTATTCTTGCAAGAAAAAAAAACCACAGCAAAGTGAACCAAAACTAATGAAATGGTGGGTGAGGACAGGAAGTTTTAAATTCCAGAGCCATTTTAATGTTTTACATTATCGGAAAGATAAAATTAAATGTTAACAAAGAAGGAGACGAATTGAAAAGGAATGAAACCAGAGCTATGAGCATTTTAAATGAAGACATGTTGGTGAGTGCAGACTGGGCAAAAGGGCCGAGGTCCACACAGGAGTGAGGACCGCAGTGGGGGACCCAGCCAGCTGGCAGGGAAGCTCAAGTCCTCACTGACATTGACTGTCAAGGCCACTGTCCTTGGTGCTGCCACACAGCTGGATGCAATCTTGGGGCCTCCCACCCCCAAATCAAATCGCGCTGTCAGAAAGCCAGGCTCGGCTCGGCCCCCTCTGCGTCCCCCTGCAGCAGCCCGGGGCCCCTCGGGGTCAGGCCACGGTTCAGAGGAGCTCCGGGGAGCAGCCCCTGCCTCCTCCCTTCCGCAGGCCTTAGCCCAGCAGATTCCTCAGAGCAAAGATAAGCTCCCGGCTCAGCCCAAGGTGGGTGGAAATGAGAATTCCTTCCTTAATTGGTATTTTCCAGTTGAGAGAGCACTCTATGCTTTTCTCACCAGTGTCATTTAATTACCAAATGTTTTCATTTTTGAGAAGACCTAAAATTGCAGAGATCTTGGGGATTTAGAGCAGGAATGCAAGACCAATTTTGCCTAATTACCAAATGTCTCGGCGGTCCCCCTGACGTGTCCCAGAGTAGGCGATGCAGGCCCGGGGCCTCCGTGGAGGTGGGGGGCCCGGCTCCGATGCAGATGTTTACCTGACGTGCGGGGCCAGGATCTGGTTTACGTTGAGAAATCAGACTGTTTACAGGACCGCACATCTGTCCCCCTCCCTCCTCTCGTTTGGCTGTAACGTTCCACAGGGCTCGCTCAGGTCCCTGTGGGGTGGGCTGCGACACCGCGCGAGTCACGCCAGCTCCACACAGCCCCGTCTGGGGGACGCATCAGCTCATGGCCTGGCCACCCGGGGGGTCAGCCTGAGTCTGGGCTGGCTGTGCTGATGGGGGTCTGGGGACGCCTGGGTGGGGAACAAATGGCCTCCAGCCTGGGGAAGAGCTCCTTAAGTATAGAGCAGGAGACTTCTCTGTCCCCCAAATGGTTGCAGGCCCAGGGACCAGGGTGCCAGAGCACTCTGGTGTGTTCTGGAAGCAGAGGCTGAGAGTGGGCCCTGGATCTGCGACTGCACACAGATGCTGAGAAGCCCCACTTCATGGAGGACCAGGGGCCCAGACCCCAAGGAGGAGACCTGTTGGGGGGTCAGTAATGCACAGGTGGAGCTGGGTGGGGTTGCAGACAGGGGTCCTGGAGTAGCCAAGCCACAGAGGGACAAGAGGGCTCCCAGCACAAGGGCTCTGGGCCCTGACCCCTCCCTCTCTAGCTGTCTCTCTGACCTATTGCTCTTCAACCCGCCAGAACCATGGGCTGCTGTGGCTGTTCTGGAGGCCGTGGCTGTTCTGGAGGCTGTGGCCCTGCTGTCACCTCCAAAACCACCATCACCCCCCACCACTCATTCTCCTTGCAGGGTCCCTACTCATCTGCTCAGCCCTCCAAGGCCAGGATGTCCAACGTGACATCCTTGGGTCTCCGTATCTGACACATGGGGATGATCCCAACTCTGCTGCAGACACACAGCTCCTTCTGAGCGCCAGCTGTTGGGCCCAGATGTGGCTGGATGGATGTCACCGCCCTCCTCACAGGGCTAGTCTGAGCCTGAGTCCCCTACATGACCTATTTGGTGAATGGCATCAGCCTTGACACGAGCGTCCAGCTCAGAGGCCCTGCAGGCATTTGGGCACCGTCCCCGCTCAGTCTCCAGGTCCCATCAAGGCAGCACATGAGGCGGGCCCCTGTCGTCCACATCTCTCCTATTTGGCAGTGACACCCCACCTCTAATTCCACTGCTCACCCCTCTTCTGGGGCTACCCCAGGCCGCCACGGCTGCTGTGCTGGCTCTGCAGCTGTCCCTTCCCCGTGAACCCACAAGGCAAACTCAGTCCTCTGCGCCCTCGCTGAGTATCCTCACTAGCTCCCAACTGCTTCCAGAAGAATCGGCTCCTCAGTGCAGCCAGCCACGGCGGACGTGGAACGCCTCCTGCCTCCTTCCTTCCAGTGCTGCCAGGGCCCTCAGGGCCCCCAACCACTGCACCTCACTGCCTTCTCACCGGTGACCCGGGGCCAGACACGACGAGGCTGCACTGTCCTTCCCCCACTTAGCAACAGGACCCAGAACCCTGCCCTGGTCCTCTTGTGCTCCCCGATCCCTCACGCCGGCCACAGCCACACACCTGCATGCTGGCCACAGAGAAAGGACAGCCACGTTCGTCAAGCATCCCGGCAGGCAGGCGCTTCCTTCCTTCTTGTCTTTCTTTTCTGTTTTTTTCTTGTGTATATAGAACAAAACATTTGCCAGTTTAGTCATTTCGAAGTGTACATTTGGGGACATTAAGTACATTCACATTGTTGTGCAGCCATCCCCACCATCCATCTCCAGAAGTTTCCATCTTCCCAAACTGAAACTGGCCCCGTTAAACACTGACTTCCTCTCCCCCAGCCCTTGGCACTCACCATCCTGCTTTCTGTCTCTTGAATTTCATGACTCTGGGGACCTCATCTGAGTGGAACCACATAGTATTTGTCCTTTTGTGGCTCGCTTATTTCACTCAGCATCATGTCTTCACTGATTCATCCATGTGGTAGTTCATGCCAGGATTTCCTTCCTTTTTTGTGGCTGCATAATATTCCACTTTGTGGATGGACCACATCTTGTGCATCTTCCCATCTGTTGATAGACACTTGGGTTGTTCCCACCTTTTGGCTGTTGTGAGGCATGTGGCTATCAGTGTGGAAGCACAAGGACCTGTTCCCGCCTCTGCTTTCAGTTCTCTGGGTGGATACCGAGGAGTGGGATTGCTGGTCACATGGTCACTGTATGTTTAGCTCTCTTTCTTAAAAGGAACACACTTAGGGGTTAGAGCACTCTGTTGTCATTTCTCGTGTGCTCTTTTCTGCTTTCTAGAACACTGATGAAATGGTGGGTGCTCCAGCAGCCAGCTTAAGCCATAATGCATGGAAATCTGCAAGGATTGTGGAGCAGAAAGACAGAGGGAGCTTGCACACCTGATTATATGTTGGCTTCTTCATAACTGGCCTCAATCATCTCTACATCTAGAGTCTTTTAAAAATGTGAATGAGTATTAAAAGTCTGTCTTCTTTAAGCCATTGTTACTGGGGGTTTTCTGTCATATACTGCCTCTTTCTAAATAATTACTAGATTTTGAAAAACCTAGAGTGGTGCTATTTCGTGTAGAATAAAAGGAGACATAAGTTAAAGTGGACCATAATCTCACCACCCAGAGACACCCATGCTTAGCACTCTCTTGAAGGACCTCCCGTGTTCCTGCACACCCTGACTGCTCCTTGCACAACTGTGTGACCATGCAAAGAGAGCGGTATGTGTGTGACTTTCTCACGACATTCACCTTTTTTACTCTCAGGATTTTAACGGCTTAAAAAATCCTCCGAGTGAGGCTGCCCCTCTTCTATTCCAACGCTGGAAATCTTTAACCAGCACCCCTTCTGTAAATCACGCTGTTAGTGCTTCTGGAGATCAACTCTCGCTGGGGAAATTGCTGTTTCCAAGCCCAGGGATAGTTTCCGGCTCTGGGTCCACTTCCCAGGCTCCTTCCAGCAGTGTCTCCAGCATCCGCTGTAGCAGCCTGGCTCAGCAGTCTGCATCCGGGCCCCGACTGATAACATCTCCGTGCCCCGCCACCGTGACAGATGGAGGGCGCCTCAGCCTTCTTTCTTTCTTTTTAACTATTTGTCTGAACGTTTTTCATCCATGTGGTTAACACTTATTGTGTCCATTTTATTTGGGTTTTGGTGTTTTGCTAAATCTTTGAGTCCTCTCGATGTTGATGGTAAGTAACTTTGTGATTCTATCGCACAGGTGTTTTAACCACACTCTGAGTTTGTTTGGCTATTAATTTAATTTGGGTTATTTTTAGACACCTGCATTTGTTTTTCTTGATGACAAAGGGACACATGTTCAGGGTCACAAATGCAAACAGTGCTTCAGTGTGTAAGGTCAGAAGTGGAAGTTGGGGGTCTTTTCTCATTGAAGTGTAGACCGATTGGGGCCGACAAATGCTCCCCACTGATGCTGATGGAGAGACGGGGTTCGCACGGTCACGTTGCGGCTTAATGACGTGATGACCCCCTGGCCTCCTTGTCATGGCTGAGCTAGAAGCCGCTTCAATGCTACAGAAAATGAATTTGCTCGTGGAGCCTTTCATTTCAGCTAAGATAGAATGGCTTGTAACAGAACAAGGAAATGAGTGGCCTGTCCCCCAAGGCTGTTGGTGATACCAAGGTATTGGTGCCAAAAACGAATGGCCTTACCCCAGAGGAAGGTTTGAAGAAGAAAACGAATCCTCAGGATGGTGAGAGGGATGTGATCCCAGATTCCACAGGGGAGACAGCCGGCAGAGCCCTGCCTTGCACGAGGCGGTGGTGACACCAGGCCAGCGCCCACACCTGCCATCTGCAGGGCAGCAGTGTCTTCACAAACCTTCGATGTTTGGGGAAGGCCTGAGACCAGGATGCTGGCAGCACGGGATCTTCTCCCTCAGCTTTGCCTCCGTTCTGTCTCACAGCGTTGGTCAGTGTGGGAGAGGCCGTCAACATGGGCCCCGAGCTCCGTGCGTGTGCTTGCTGTGTGCCCAGATTGCAGGCCCCACCATCCCCTGCCACACAGAGCCCTTTCCTGAGCTGCTCACAGGCCACCCAGTGGGTGAAGGCCACTAGGGTGTGGCAGCCCTGCTGTGGCTCCAGGGGATGGCTGAGCTGGCTTCCTGGGGGGGTTGGCCACATGCTACAATGTTTCCTGTTTGATACAATGTTTCCTATTTGATACAATGTCTCCTCTTTGCTACAATGTCTCCTGTTTGCTACAATATTGCTGGCTGTGCAAATGTCACCTGGGCCCATTGTCATTTTTTCCCCATCTCTTGCTGTGGGACTTGGGGGCAAAGGGAAGCCATGGAAATATGCTGATGTTCCTTTCACTTTCCGTGAGTAATAAGGGCCTTTGTCGCTGAACCCTCGAGTGGATGGATCCCTGGCTTGGAGCAAAGTCCTTTCTTCAGGGAGCAGCAGCTGCCTGGGTTACACTTGCAGCCGTAGGAGGCAGCAGTGGGGAGCCGCGAGTGTGGCTGCTCGGGCTCTGGGGGAAACTGGGGCTCCCGTGGAGGCTCACAGGGTCTGAGGGTGCTGGGGCTCCTGCAGAACACCCTCTGGGGCCCAGGAAGCAGGAGGCCCCTGCTCTCCCTTGGCTCTCAGCTGTCCTGGGGGTTTTCCAGCAGTCCTCCGCAGCCCCAGCACCTGCTCAGATGGGTAGGCCCCACAGCAGTGGCTGCTCAGAGCCTTGGCTGCCTCATCCTGACTGACTCTCCCTCCCCAGCATCGGCAGGAACCGCCCCCCCCCCCCCCCCCCCCCCCCCGCGCCACCCCGGGCTTCCCAGAGGGCAGCCATGGCCGATCTCTGACCCCCCGTCCCTCCATGCCTCTGCGTGCCCCCAGGGCCCGTGTTCTCCTCCCAAGTCCTCCTCTGATCACAGCCCTTTTCCCAAATCCCCCTAGGCTGCTCCCCAATTGCTAAGGGAGCGCTGGTGTGTGGAGGGGGTGGTCAGGGCTCTTTCGCTGTATCTGTAACTCGTCTGTTGATTAGACAGCGATGGATTTAAGGATTACTTTCTATAATGAAAGTAGATGAGGGGAACAAGGGAAATAACTAACTTCCAATTTCCAGGACAAAGTCAGCTTGTTGGCCTGGCCCCACAGCCCACACCCTGCGCCCGGGCCAGCCCCACACTCTCTGTACCGTCTGTGGCCCCTCTGCTGGCACAGAGCCTCTGTTCTCTCTGTGTCTCCCCTCTAGGGCTCTGCATACAGCTGGTACTGCGTAAATGATTGACGCAAGGAGGAGAAATGGTTGACCAGCAGAGGGATGCAGGGTGGACAAGACACAGCCTCTGCTGCCCAGGCCAGAGGCCGAGATGTCTGCCCTGACTGTCTGAGCCACACCCCTGAGCCTGAGGGCCCGCTTCTCTGCTGGGACCCCTGCAACCACTGCCCCGGGTGTGCACATCGGGCCCCGGGGGTTGGGGTGGGGTGAGGCCTGTGAAGGGAAGGCCTGAGGAGGCAGGAGCCAAAGTTCTCCACACACCCAGGCTCCCAGCCAGCTCCTCTCCTGGGAGGGGCCCTGGAACCAGGCTGGGAACACGGAGGAGGGGGGACACCCGGCCACACCAGGCGGTGATCAAGCTGTCTGAGCGGACTGGGGATTTGCTATGGACTGAGTTGTGTCCCCCCAAATCTGTTTGTCAAAGCCCTGATCACCAAGGTGATGGCACTTGGAAGTGAGGCCTTTTGAGTTAATTAGGGTTGATGAGGTCATGAGGGTGGGGCCCCCACGATGGGATTAGTGCCCTCCTAGAAGAGGAGGACACCAGAGCTCACACTCTCTCCGAAACATGATGACACAGCGAGAAGGCAGCCGTCTGCAAACCAGAAACAGAGCCCTCACCAGAACCGACAGCCGTGCCTCCTCCCTGATCTTGGACTTCCAGCCTTCAGAACAGTGAGAAATAAATGGCTGTGGCTTCTGTTACAGCAGCCCGAGCTGACCCACACAGGTTTCTGCTGGCTTATTTCTGTCTCCGGCCGGGACGCTCTGAGCGAGTGCTCAGGGACGACATAGCCACAACCCAGCACAGACAGAAAAAGCTGTCTGAGAGAGGAGGGAGCAGCAGAGGGAGCCTCATGGGCAGATGAGGCCACAGAGCCATGGCATGAAACTGTGGCCCTCCCACGGGAGCCGCGGTGCAGAGGAGCAGCCGGGCAGCAGGCGTTTGCTTTCACGATTGGGAGTCCCCACAGAGGCCGGGAGGGAAGGGAGAGTTCACTCCATTTCATCCACCAACACCAAGACCCAGGGCTCAGGCAGCCTCGTCAGTCTGCCCAGTTTGAAAATGCACCCTTCTCAATCCCTGGGTGCTTCCAGAACCTTCCACGGGGACTAACACAATGGTCATTAAACAGCGGAAAGAATAAAGTCTGCAATGCATTGGAAAATTCTGGACAGAGAGAAAATGGGGATGGCAGTTCCCCACTCCAGGGGGGATCTCTCCAATTCTGCCATGGCCACATAAGCTGAGGGTACAGGGGGCGTCAGAGGCAAGGAGCATGTGCCCCTACATGTTCAGATGGAGGAGAGGACAGTTCCCCATGGTGCGAAGCTGGAACAGCCACAAAGCCACAGAGCCCCATGCTGGGGAAGCCCCATGACAGGTAGGAAGCAGAAGACCCCACCCTGGGCAGAGTCGGGGGCTGGAGTGATGGCCAACTTTGAGGTGTTAGCCAGCCCCTCTCTACCGCCACCCCCGGAAGGCCCCTGTCCCACCTCCCCAGGGGTCCTCACTCCCAGCGCCCACCATCCTGCCCTGGGCTCTCCCCAGGCCCCCTCGCTCTGCTCTCCAAGCTGAGGGGTAGGAGGAGATGGGGCCGGAGCCTCTGCCCTGTTCACACCTCAGTGGGCTGTGAGCTGGTTGTAGAGGGCCACAGAAAAGAGCGGAAGCTTTGAGCCATCCCAAATGGATACAAGCACAAATGGCAAAATATAACCCACAGTCATCACGCAGCGTGGGACTGCGGGCGCTTTCCCGTCGGAATCCTGGCTGAGCCTCGCTGGACCCCCAGCTGGTTTGGCTCCACTGGTGTCCGACCTGAGCACCTGCTCTGGGTCCCGGGAAAGGAGCACACGGAAACAACATTTTCAGGATACAAGGTTTTATCTTTTAAAAAGCATCAAAGGCATCGTGATTGGGAAGAACAGAACTTCAACAAGGCACCAGCTTAGTTCGGTTCCATGTTGCTTTCTGGATCTCCTAGGAGAGGGGGCCATAATTGCTTCGGAGCCCCCAGGGGTTTCATTGGACCCCTGGGTGCATAACCAGCTGGGGACACGGCCCCTTGAGAGCCTGGTGGACTCCCGCAGACCCCAGAGCTCAGAGGTCAGCTGGTCACTCTCTGGAGACACGGGATGTCTGGGGGAAAAGCCTGCCTTCCTCTGGCTGATCCTCCGCCCTGTGCACATGCTGCCACCAGGTGGCGCCCTCTCGGTCCCACAGACTGCTGCACCTGAGCAGTCGGAGAC